CGAAGTGGGTAAATTCCCCCGTGTCCCGCCGTGCCGGTGCCTCGGGCCGTGCTCCCCGGGCGGCAGGCGCCTTGCCGCGTCAGCAGGGCCGGGGAGGGCCTGAAGCCCCTTTCAGGCTTCGCAAGGTGCTGGCAGTGTCTGGCAGCGCGGGGCAAAGCTGGGACACAGGGCCCGGCTTCGAGTAATACCTCTGCTAGTGGGACCATATAACTTGGGGCTCCCATGGGGCAATGCTAATAGCAATTTGCCTTTGGTTTGTTGTACTCTTAGATCCCGTGGAGCTCTCTGCTAAGCCTCTGACTATCCCTTACCGGGTAACACGAGAGTCATTAGGAGTTTTTGTTGTTGTTTTTTAATGTTTAATGCTCCATAGGGCAGCACATGTAAGATAACTCCTGCAGCAGTGGTGTCCCAGGAGCTGTGGGAGGAGGAAGCCACGGCAGGCTCCTGTGGGTGACCTGTTGCTGTGTTTGGGAAGGTGTTGCAGGGGTGCCCAGTCTGAGGCGTGTCCTGGGGAGCAGGGGATGGCCATGCAGCTGGAGGCCAGCACCGACACCTCAGCAGAGGAGGAGAGCTTTGGGCCACAGCTCATCGCCCGCCTGGAGGTAGGGAGGAGACACCCCGAGAGGCAGCTCCCCAGAAATCTGCTGGTCTCTTTCCTGAAACACAACTTTCATCTGAAAACTGTGCTGCTAAATTCTTACATGTCTTCTGTCAAAAAAAAAAAACACCAAAACAACACAAAACAAACCCCCAGCCTCTTAATAGTGATGTTCTCAGTTACATCCCCTTGCTGTGTACCCTTTCCTGGCAGGTGCTGGTCACCTCCAGCACCTGTTACACCAGATGTTACCTTCTGCCTCTTCTGCACCCTCTGTGTCGTTAGTAGCTTATGCAAATGTTACAGTGCTCAAGGATTTTAATTTTTCTAGTTCTTTAAGTGAATAGGGAAGTACCATCCAGTGTGCTGACCTGTGATACCAGAGTTGGGTCCAAGTCTGCTGATGCCAGTTGAAGGCACTCAGTGGAACTTGGATCAAGGTATTTGTGTCTCAGTGTGTCCTGTTTTTCTCCTCTCCTTCAGCAATGTGGCATAAATGCAAATGATGTGAAGAAACTGGAGGAAGCTGGATTCCACACCGTGGAGGCTGTTGCTTATGCACCAAAGAAGGAGCTCCTAAATATTAAAGGCATCAGTGAGGCCAAAGCTGACAAAATCTTGGTAAGGGTGTTTTGGAAAAGCTTTGACCCAAGATAGTAACGAAGTTTTATTTCTAGTGGCTTAAAATGGTGATTTTGGGAGGTCTCCATTAATAACATGCTGAATGACATGATACATCCATGATGTATGGACACTTACACAAAATGGATGTTGGGGCTGTTTCTCTGGGCAGGATTTTGGTTCTCTTCAGAGGTACCAACTAATTGGTCTATAAAAATAAAACATTTACATCAAATTATATGGTGCTTCTCCATTTCCCAGCATAGAAAATGATGCTTTTAATGGCCAGAGGGGTAAATGAATGGGATGAACTCTCCTGGCACTGACTAGTTTGGTTTTCTTCAGGCTGAAGCAGCAAAGCTGGTTCCAATGGGCTTCACCACAGCCACAGAATTCCACCAGCGAAGGTCAGAGATTATCCAGATCACCACTGGGTCCAAAGAGCTTGATAAACTCCTTCAGGGTAATAGTTCTATTTCTCTTTATTGATCAGACTTCGTTATCTGCTGGTTTTCCCTGTGAATGTCCTCCTTGCACAAAACCACACAGAGCACAGGAGTTCCTGGTGGATGGAAATCTCCTCCAGTGCTGCTCTCTTGTACCACAACTGATTTTCTTTTAAAAGCTGCAGAAATAGTTTTGAAACCTTTTGCTCATGATGCAGCAACCAGAGCTGTTAACTTTGGATGTTTCTAGTTTAGTCTGTGGCTTATTTTGTGAACTCTGTGGCCTTTTTTTAAATCATTGTTATTTTCCCTTCAGGAGGAATAGAAACAGGGTCCATTACAGAGTTGTTTGGGGAGTTCCGCACTGGGAAGACCCAGTTGTGCCATACCCTGGCAGTGACCTGTCAAGTGAGTGTCTGCTTGTTAAAATCAAGTATTCAACCACACAGCTCTTGGCTGTTTGCTGAGTTGCAGTTTTCTCCACCAACACAAATGTGATGTGATCAACAGCTGGAAAGAATGGGAGTATTTGCAGCACCCTTGGCTCCACCTGCAGCTTTCTAGGATCCTCTGTGTTGTGCTTTATCTGCCTGCTGGAGTTACTTTAGCAGTAATTAAGCTTCTGATGGCTTTTGCCTGTTTGACATGTTCTGTGAATTGATTTTTTCTTTCCTTCCCTCAGTACTCTGACAAAACCTAACAGACATTATTAGCCTTGTAGCCTAGGTCTGAAATGCAGAGAAGTGTTTGCTCTCTCTTCAGATGCTCTGGCTGCAGAGAACCTTTCTTGTCACCAGGAGTGTTGAAAAGGGAAAAACTGCTGGATTCAGGGAGTTCTTTTGCATAGCTCCCTTTTGTTCTGATCAGCTCCTAATCCTACTTCCCCTGGCTTCTCTGAAGGCTTTCAGCTGGCTCTTGCTGTCAGGAGAGCAGTCTGGAGGAACCTTTTTTTCTAGTCTTAGCTTAGAGAAACAATAGCATGTATTACTTTCTAGAGGCTGCTATTTCATAAAATACTGGAGACTTTGGGCTTAATTTGATCATTTAATTAACGCCTCGTGCACCTAAATGAGCTCCAGGTTCAGCACCTCCCCTCTAGGTGGGTGTCAGAGATTGAAAAGGGGGAATCTTCCTTCTCACCTCTCCCAGAGAAGCGTGAGTTCACTCCCAGTGGCCCAGCAGGTGTGGTGTGGGCTGGGGGCAGCAGGCAGCAGGGGGTCTCACTGCTCCCCGTGCTCTGCCCTGCAGCTGCCCATCGACCGGAGCGGCGGCGAGGGCAAGGCCATGTACATCGACACCGAGGGCACCTTCCGCCCCGAGCGCCTGCTGGCCGTGGCTGAGAGGTGAGTGCTGGGGCTGGGGGGGTCTGCTGCTGCCCGGGGAGGGCACTGCCTCTCCTCAGATCCCCCAGAGGTGAGTGCTGGGGCTGTGGGGCCTGCTGCGGCCTGGGGAGGGTAC